CCCTTAAGAAAGGTGGAGACATTTTTTGTGGGGAACAGATTGGTCAGTGAGACGAACTCCAGTTGCTTGACATTTTTGCCAGGTGTACAATTTTAATGTACTGTTTGTTTATTTTCTGGGGAGGTCATATCCAAGTTTAATTTGGGATCCTATGGGAAATATGTTGTCAATTAATGAATTTTCCACTTATTGACAGTTTTCTGTATATGAGTTAAGTTCGTAAATAGAGGGATGACTGTATGCAGTTGCTTTTCTTATATAAAGGGCTTTTAATGCTATGTCATAATGTACCTTCTGACAAAAAAGACATTAACAAAGATACGCAAAGAAAAATGGCAGTAGTGCCTTTTTCTTCATTTCATTCTGAATATAATATATAGTTAAATATGTCAAAACAAAATGATTAGAAGACAGGCCATAAGAAATAAAACATATTATAAGCAGAGAGCATCTTCCCAATGTGTACAAGTACAAAAAGAAGATCAAGGCACTGTTATGCCGAGACTGTAGCACTTTACTTACTACTACCCACTGAAGCTAAGCAGGTGTGAGCCTGGTCAGTACCTTGATGGGAGACCTCCTGGGAAAAACTAAGGTTGCTGCTGGAAGAGGTGTTAGTGGGGCCAGCAGGGGGCGCTCACCCTGAGGTCCATGTGGGTCCTAATGCCCAGTGTAGTGAAGGGGACACTATACTGTAAACAGGCGCCGTCCTTCGGATGAGACGTAAAACCGAGGTCCTGACTCTCTGTGGTCATTAAAAATCCCAGGGCGTTTCTCGAAAAGAGTAGGGGTGTAACCCCGGCGTCCTGGCCAAAATTCCCCATTGGCCCTTACCAATCATGGCCTCCTAATAATCCCCATCTATGAATTAGCTACATTACTCTGCTCTCCGCCCTACTGATAGCTGATGTGTGGTGAGCGTTCTGGCGCACTATGGCTGCCGTCGCATCATCCAGGTGGATGCTGCACATTGGTGGTGGTGAAGGGGAGTCCCCATTACCTGTAAAGCGTTTTGAGTGGAGTGTCCAGAAAAGTGCTATATAAGTGTAAGCAATTATTATTAATATAATTATTACTAGAGAAGTTTACTCTTTGCTTTGAGATGCACTACCCAGCAGAGGAAACCTACAGGAACAGATTTATTATTCTGAAATCATCAGAATCACGACACTTGAACACAAGTGGATGGCAATTAGCTTGTTTTGGATTTGGAAGGCTATTGGTTACACCAGATTTGGAAGGTTATTAATTACACCAGAACTAATTCAGAATTGCTATTACTAAAAGGTGTGTACACTTATTCAACTCATTTTTCAAATGAGTTTAAAAAAACATTTTCAAACTCAAATGTTTCCACTTTGAATTACGTTTCAGAATTTTTTAACATTTGGTTCGCACTTGGAGATTGTGTGCTAAATAAATAAAGATAAAATAAATTCTGGCTCTGTAAGTCCTACACCCAGGACTTTCTTTCACAAATTTGCTTGCATTCTCCCACCCTCTGACACCTCTAAGCCCTTGGAGGAAACTCCCTAGCTCAATCCTTACAATATTGAGGAGTAGTTTGGGCAGTCCATCCTCATGGCTAGACTCCCATTCCTTCAAAAAGACAAGTCACACCAAATACTCTACACATATTTTGTCCCTCTATCACAAAGTGTTTAATTCTACTAAACTAGCTGAGATGGCCACTCAGCTGGGGCAGACAATGAAAAGGCAAATGCCTCTTGTGTAAAATGAGATAGGTAGTGGGATTCCAGCATTTCCGCAATCGATAAGGATGTAATACAAAAACTCTGAGCTGTTTTGAAACAGGACTTTGTCCTGGGTTGGGTTTTTGGCGCATAAAATATTGAATACTCCCAGAGTGAAGATGGCAAATCCTGAAAGCACAGAAGTAAAGCAGAATGAGCAAGTCCTGTGTCTTTATTCTTCAAATTTTCTGGTACATAAATTAGACGACTCTTTTAAAGAGCGTCAGTCCTTCCATTTTTGCTTGGCTCAGTCAGTAGCTGGCCAGTTACAGGTCAGCAGCAGCCCAGCACACAGGCACCCATGCAGCAGATCACTGAGGGAGGCTGCTGTGTTGTCTTTACTGCAGCATTTTACTGATGTCTTCCACATTGGTGAACAATGTCTGCTTCACGGGGACTGTGTGAGATAAAACTCACTGCAGACTCCAGACCATTTTTCTTTTTTTAATTCTGTCTTTGACTGAGATTTGGGTACATAGTGAGTGTCGGCTCATAGTTTCTGTGTTACTGCCATTATCAGGAACTGAGATTTATTGATTTTATTTTACATAGATCCTTTCTACCCTCAAAAGGGTGCTATTTAAACCTTTAAATCTGTTATTGTTTAGATTGTATATTTTTCTTTCAGGGCGTGTTCTTAATTTGGTTTTAACTGCAAGTCTTTTTCTTTTTTAGTGATTCTTAATTTAGGCACATTAACAGTTTAATTATTTTTATAAGTGACTTTTTTTTCATAGTCTACTTGGGAGGACAATTTTTTCTGATGTTTTTTGACTGGATTGTAAGTTGGCTTTGAATCTCCAACTCATTTTGTTGGGTATTATGTATTCTGATGGGTGTGGGAGACAACATTTTAGCATTTAAAAAGTAAAAATTATTTAGTTTTTTGCAAGACACAAATAATACTTTGTCACTGACTATATTTTCAACCATTCTCTGTTTCTATAGTACGGAATAGAAAAACACTGTCCTTGTCTCTAACAAAATACCATGCCAGTTTCTACAGATTTATTTACATTTTTACATTCACCCCTTGATGTTATAACACTATCAAATGAAATGTTTCAGACAAATAATTCAAGCTAAATTTTAGGACTTTATATTCTATTTTATGGGATGCTTTTGAAGAAAACTGAAGATAACCCAAGCAACTGCTTTTTATTATTCATAACATTTTATTTTATGAAAATTTCTGCAACCAAATTGTTTCAAACTTAACAACTCACCTTTTCTGACGCCACTGCCCTAGAAATTAACTTTCTTTTAAAAGAATACATTTACTGCCTTGACATCATGCAGTTTTTCTCATATGCAGGTCTGGTAGTTGACATAGCCATTAACTATCTTTGAGACTCCACATCAGTTAATACTTTTTCGCAATTAGAATACTAAGGGGGTACTACTCCTTTACACGTACAACCTTACACGTACTACTCCTTTACAAGGGTACAACCTTTACAAGTTACTATTTTAGTATAAATTATTGGTTTGATCAAGGAAAGTGTATGAAAGCTCTTCAAGCTCTTTACATAATTTTTCTCACACAGAGGCAACTGTACTGATGAACCCTACATTCCTGTTTAAACTGAAGCAGGCAGTTCAGAACATAACAAAGTTAAGTAAATCACTTGGAGTTGATGGTATCCCTCCTGAATCCTATCTCGATTTTTTTAGCTGTAGGTCCTCTTTTGCTTGATATACTGCCACTGAGAAAGGGTTCTTTTTAGAAGGATGTTAATACTGCCATTATATCTGAGATTGAAATAAGATAAAGATGGCACACAGCTTTTGTCTCATCACACAGATTTGCTCAGATGTCAAACTGTATTCTGAAGTGCTGTTTCACTGGTTGGAAATCTATATAACTCAGTTATAATCCAGCTAACTATGACCAGAAAGGCTTTAAAAAATGACCTGTAACGTGATCATATTTGCTCTCTCCTCAACATTACACACAAAACTACATATATTGTATACCCCCAAACAATTCTATCAATAGATGCAGAGAAGACATCTGATTAAGTTAAGCGGGGTTATTCATAGTGATTTCTGTATTATGCAGGGTTCAGATCAGGTTTCATTAATACATTTAAAATTGTATATTCCAAACCAATGTTGTTTACAGGCAAGTCTTCTTTCCAGTTTGATATTTCTTAAGGCACTTGTCAAGCTCTGTTAAATGTTTTATGACTTCAGTACTCTATCAGGGTATAAACTTTATTGGTCTAAGACTGCATTACTGCCATTACATTTTGCAGTGGAGAAAGCTAGCATACCTCTAGTGCTGCCATTGATTGAACACCTTAGAAACCTTGGTATTGAAATATTTTATATTTTCATGCTACCATAGTAAACAGCATTTTCAATTTTATTTCACCTTGTTTGTTTTTCTGTTCATTGTCTTTTTGGTTTAGCACTGACACTCCAGTATCTTGGCAACATTCTAGAAGCAAGTCTGGTCCCTCCAGCCTTAAGATTTTAATTTATACCAGGGTATCTCTTCAGCATTGTAAATTGTGTTTTGGCATCATAATTACTCAGTTAATTAAGATTTAACATTCAGCCGAAAGATTCATGAAATCATATCTCTTATTTTCAATAGTCACAAACTGCTTAAATGTAATTCTTCTTTTCTCTTTTTCTGAACAAAGAGAAGATTTTATCAGATATTTTCATGAGCATGATCTTTGCCTGTTCCAGGTCTTGTCACAATTTCCTGGTTCCTCTTTCTTTTTGTATTTGTGTCTCTGTTCTGCAATGTGTAAAATAAAAATAAATAAAAAATGAAATATTCATATTAGATTTAACTGAAAGGTTAAATGTTTGCACGTCTCTTATATGGTGAACTCTAAATGGTGGAAAAGCTACCTTCCTTCTTGTAATACAACACAAGATGTTGTGTTTAAACCTTGCTACCCTTTTAACCTTGTTACCCTTTACAATTTATTCTTTGGACTTTTGATCATTAAAGCTTTATCTACTACATTTTTGTCCGGTGTGGTAAATTATGGTGAAACTACTTCTGTCTGGTAAGGAGATTTCATGTTGCAATGTAAAGGACAAGATGTGCACAAACACTGCTTACTTTCAATGAGAGTGAAAATTCAGAAACTAACTTTCTATCTCACACATCTGAAAGCATCATACATTAATGACAATTAACAGGTGTCATTCAAAGTACATACTGTAACATACAAAGTACATAAAGTCCAGAAATGTGATTTATTAGAACAGATGCTCTCATACCTCAATGAAGAGAGAGTAGGAATCGTTGTTGACTGTGTGCGAGTAGTAAAACTCGCCATCATACCAGAGGATCTTCCCAGGGGGAGCATTTTGCTTTGTCACCGAAAACAGGTTACGTGGATCACAGCAGTCTCTAAGAAGCTTCCTAAAAGTAAATAAGCCAAAACTTCTCAGTAAATGTCCAAGAGAAAGCAGTTATCAGTGGTCATACAATATTGATATGCTTAGACAATTGAAAGCACATAGAACTTTTCGCTTCCCTTTCATTTACTGTTTCACATGCTTTTAATGATCTTGCTTCCTTTTCAGACTGCATTTGAATTAGCTTTTTACAAATAATATCTACCAAAAAACAGAAATAACTTACAAAGAATGTGTAGAAGAATACAAGAAGTTCTCAATGGGAACATCCATTTTGTTCACAGTTTGTCCTTTGGTTTTATTCATTTCAAGTTTGCACCTAAGCTGCACTAATAACAAGAGCTGTGTTACTATGTTGCTATACTGTATAATACAAGCCACAATTGGACTACTTCATGGTAGATGATTCTTTTTTTTTTTAATTTAATGTGTAAAAAAAGAAATGAGAAGGTCTTTTGTAATCAATGTATCAAATTTAAAGAAATAATATGGAGTTATTGAGAGGTTGACATAGTTTTATCTTGTCTTGACAGCATTAATCTTAAACAGGAAAGTTGCCATCACTTTAACAGGGATAACATTAACAGCAGCAATGTTGTTGTTATATATAGGAAAAAATAGAAATGCAAAGCCTTAATTGTCTTTGCTTACACTATCAGATGGAAATGATGACATACTAGGTGAAAGGCCTTTGACAAACCCTGAGCAGTGGAAGAAAGTTGGTTCTTATATTATGGTTTCATCTTCAGCAGGCAAGAAGAAAAATGAGGACTCTGCTTTTGAGCAAGTATAAAAATAAATGTAATTTATGGGAAACCACTGCATATATCTGGAAGGGTTTTGAATACATTAATGATAGTCTGTAACAAAGATTTTAGTTTTGACAGATCAATGTTTTATACAAAGAATTTGATAATGTAATAAGAATGAGGAATTATCTAACAGGCATTTGCTCTCTTTTACACACTGCACTCAAATTCAGTAGGAAGTAGAAAGGCTCTAAGACATTTTAGAGAACAAATCTAAAGTAGCTATTCATCTATTCAGATCAGATGCTAATTGGAAATTACTGCAATGAGTATGGTCACATAAATATGAGAATCTGTTCTTAATCAAGAGCTGAAATATAGGCTCCTAAGAAGCACAACTGTTAAAGATAACTGCTTAGAACACAAGTTAGGCTGCACCTGTAAGGGCAGAGTTCACAGGGACTGCCAAGCCAAATTGTGCAAAGCGTACTGCCAGGGTTGCATGGGTTTGAAACTGGCAGCATACCAGTGACCCCTGTGAACCTGCAGTCGTGTCAGTGACAGCTGCACCAGATCCATTTCCTCTTTGGTGTGGTGTGGTAGGCAGTACTAGAAGCTGACAGCCATTGCATGCTTTAGAGCACTTGTATGTCATCTCCAATTTTCCTGTGAGGATTTGATCAGTCTTAATAGATAACTGTCTTATGCTGCTTGCAAATTCACAGATGACTGCCCACATCTTACCCAAGTTCTACTCCACAGGAATATAACTTGCTTAAATGTAGTTCTTAAATTGTGTTATCAGCATCTTTTAGATGTTCTCATTCAGTAACTTGTAAATGACATAATTACCCCTCTTAGTTATGAATTAATCATGTATTTCAGAAGTTTGGAAAGTTCACATTCTGTAAAACAATGATGGTGTAAGCCTATCATTCCATAGTGGGACTAAAGTGAACTGTATAAATTCATATACAATCAAATAATGTTTCTAAATAATCGTTTTAGAATTTACTTTTAGAATATTTAATTTAGAATATGAACTGGATTTTAAGAATGTTTTTGTTCTGTAAAAACCTCCACTAGGGAATGATATCAGAATATATATCAGCAATGTGCTTTCCCAGAGAAGGTTTCTCAACTGAAATTCCATAATTCCCACTTTACCCCACCCCTTCTTCCTTGTATTTTTACCAAATAGAAAATAACTTTTCCTCAGAAACTTAACTTCAGCTTCTAAAAAAAGGCCCATTTGTACTTACTCTTCTATGGCTAAGCAACTCTGCACAATATGGCTTTAAAAAGTTTACTTTGTTTTGTCAGTTTCATGTAATGATTTTATAACTTTATTTTTATGGTACTTCTCACTAGGTATTTAAAAAGCAATTTGTATGTCCTTGATTACAGGTTTTTTAAGTGACACAGAAACCACTGTGACCAAATCTATGCACAGATTAACTACTCTCTATAATTTAGAAATGCTTTTGAAACTACCTGTAAAACAGTAATTGGGTTATTTAGATTTGGGTTTGTTAATGTGACATCATTACATGTACTCCTGGGTGATAGTTATGCATGAGGATGACAAAAAAGGAGCAAAATTGTAAAATGAAGAAAAACAGAAATATTTTGAAATTGGAACTGTATTTCTGCCAGGTGGCACAGGGACACAATGGTTAGCAATGCTTCCTCACAGTGCTTGGGCCCTAAGTTCAGTTCCAGAACTGTATGCTCTGCATGGAGTTTGTATGTTCTCCCTGTGTTCATGTGGGTTTCCTCTGTGTGTTTCCATTTCCTCCCACAGACCAAAGACATACAGTATTGGTAGATTAATTGGCTTCTGGAAAACAATTGGCCCTGGTGTGTGCGCATGTCTGCGTCCATGTGTACGATGCAATAGACTGTCATCCCATTCAGGGTGTATCTGGTCTTGTGCCCTTTGCTTGTTGGGAGAGACTCCAGCTCTCCCATGACCCCATATTGGACAAAGCAGTTAGAAAATGGATGGATTTCTGCCAGACCGTATAATAAATGTTGGGACCATGCAAAATAAAAAACAAATGTGACTAATGGATCTTGCTTTGGTAGGAATCTAAGCAAATAAACAGTAACACTGCATCAAATTCCCACAAGTTAACTTCAAATGTAGCACTTCTCCTCAGAGCATTCCTCTCTTAACAAGGTGAAGTGCTCTCGGGAATGAAAAATGGTCACTATCCAATCTGTACCCATCACTTTTCTTTTATGAGTTTTTAAATAACATTAAAGCAACATTAGGATGTAAAATGTGCAGTTTTCAGCTAAAGATAACATGACAATCAGCAGCCTAAAGAAATGATCAAAAGTAAAAAATTGGTCTTTCACAGGGTGTACACCAAGATGCCTAAACCTCCTGCTTTGTGTAACTCAATTCCTAAATCCTAGCAGTTTTAAGCAATGTTTAAATAATTCATCATGGGGAATAATAAGCAGAAAACATCCTATGAAGATGGTGACAGAACACCAACACGTTAATATAAAAAAATCATGTTTTATCTAATCTAAATTAATACATGTAATAAAACGTTTATTTAGTAGGTCCTTGCTTCATGTAAGGTATGGTTTGAATTGTGCAAAGAGATACAGACGTTATATTTTACAAAAATAAAGTCAGTCTTCTGCAAGCACTTTTGCTTCAGACGTAGCGGAGTAATCTACCATCGCAATGCGCATTCTTTTATATCTTGGAATACAATTCGCTGGGTAATTGTAATAGTTCCTCGGGTTACTTAGAAACAGAAATTAGGCGGCAGTCTTAAAATTATAATCTCAACAAAAGCGACCTGTTTATTACTGTACTACAAATCCTTTACGGTAATGCTGATGGTTCAGCATTATTATTCTTGCACTTGTGTGAATATTCTTACGTGAAATAACTAAGCTTCGATTAGAGCATGATCTCACTCGTACGGACCACAAACTGCGATATACAGCAGAATGTTCACGTACATGCAAATTATCTGTGATATGATAGTTTACTACTTACTCCAATATCAAAATTCGACGTTACTAATAGTAGATTACATTTAATGGCCTCGACGTCAATATCATTACACAAAAGAAATGAAAGACGAATAACAGGCTTCATAAGCTGAATCAACTATCAGACTACTTTAGTTTCATCGACGACCTTGGCGCTCTGCAGCAGTGAATTACTGGCAGTTCACCAAATTAGTTATCGCTTGGCGTTGCACAATAAAACTTTTATTACTGTAACCGTTGCGTTACATTACCATATAGGGAGGATTTGTTAGCAAAGAGTATTTTAAGCATATTTGCACGATTTTTTTTTCATATTATGTGTTTACACAAATTATTTCGTACTACGGTATTTGATTTGCTAAAGGAATGAATCTAAACATAATTTTCTCAATATTAACATACATTAAATTCAAGTAGAGCCACGTACTGAGGAAAAATAGAATACAATTAAATGAACTGATTATAATTATACCTTTCGCCAGCTTTAAATACGACTGTATGCATTTATTTTATCATTGATAAGCATGCGGTGCGTCAAAGTGCAAATATTACCACAAACTACTGAGATTTGCCTTTGTTTTTTCACTGGATGCTGCTGCGGGCGAGTAAAAAAGCATATTCAGTTAAGAACTGGCCAATTGTTACATAGTAACAAGAGCAAGACACATCTCTCGTTATGCACTATATCAATTCAAACAGATATTCTACCACTTAAATTCTTGTTTGGAAAAAATATACCTGAACATTGAGATGCCCGTGAAATTTTTGTTCCATGCTTTTCCCTGCCGCAAGACTTCATTCACAATCTCCTTGTCGCTTGGGAGCCTGTATACTGGGAAAATGTACAGCCAACACAGCACAAAAACACACAGTGCAGCCCAAACGGACAACTTGGTTCTGGGGCATTTTAAAAACATCATTACCAGTATATACACAGTTACAGAATATCCATTCAAACGAATTTGCAGATTAATAGCAAAATCGCCGCGGATTACTACCTCCGTTTAAAAAAGAAATTCTTCATGTCTTGTTTTTTCTTCACAACTGATGGTACGAGGGGGATAAAGATTTATATTTTCGTTGCGAAATGGTAACATCAAATTCTTCCTTTTTTCTCATGTGTTTGGTCCTTTTACAAAACTGCAAAACACGTTGTTTTGCTTAGAACATTTAAAATGCTATATCCTCACGTTGGATGGGTTTCTACTAAAGTCAGTGCAGAAATATATTTTTTTCAGCTTTGTCAGATTCATTGCTCTCTTTCTGCGCCCCAGACGATGATTACATCCCTTACAAAACCACTGCAGTCTTCCCTTGCTTCAAGAGTTCTTAAAAAAATGTGCTCCAAGCTCAGCAATTTCATCGCGTTGGTATCCCAGTTGTATTTTTCCACCTCTGCGTGTCCAGCATAGTCGCGTTCTTTGAACTTCTGTTTTCTGCTAAATACATGAACCACCCAAATAAATTGCAAAGCTAGATGGAGAATCCTTGCCTTCCTCAGAACAAAGCACAGTCTCTACTGCTCCAGTCTTTAGTGCAGCAACCGCAGCTCACACTGCCTGTCACTCATTCGTCTGTGGAGGTGTGTCCATAGGCGAGTGCTGCCCTCAGCTGGACTCTCCATCCTACGTGGAAGACAAATGTAAAGGAAGCCTAGGACGTCTTAAATACAGTAGATTATGTAAAGACTCGCACAGGATGCTTTCCTGAAAGAATTTGAATTATAATTGTAGGTAATTTTTGGTAGACAAAGATAGCTGACGAAAAATAGTTTTCTATACTTATCTTTCTTGACAAAGTCATTGTAGATTATTACATTATTTTGTCCTTTTTGTACAAAAAAATAGGGAGCCTATTTGGTATATGAACAAATTGCTATTCAAAACTCATGAATTTCTCAAATAATTCATGTTTCTTTTATCTGTATAGGATTTGCCATGTGAATACTTGTTTATTAAAGATACTATGTAGCTGTTCTGAAGATCACAGATAACACATGGATAACAGTGTGGCCATGTTCCATTCTGGATTTGCACAAATTGGCACATACTGTATAATGTTTCCCCTAAATTCAATTGATGAAGCAAGACCCCACTTCACTACCTGGTGTGCAGTGTAGGGAGGCTCCTGGTGCAAAATGGCTACCATTCATCACCCAGGTGGATACTGCACCAGACACAGATGATGTGGGTCCGCTATATATGTAAATCACTTTGGGATCCTTTGATGAATAGCAAAATATAAATACAAATTCATAGCTAGATGTTTTATGTATTTTGGCCCCTAGAGTATATAATTCACCACCTATTGGCAAGTTAATGCTTGTGATAAAAAATGGGCATACTGTATCTACAATGTAAGCAAACCAGACGCATATGTCCAGTGACTTAGATGAAAACAATAAACTGGCATTGGTGTATTCGCAACATCAAGACTTTGAACTCAGTGGCTGCACAGCAATATGTGGCAAAGTGCTTCATACACCAGATTTGTGCCATATAACCCTACTTTAGAATTTAAAAACATATGGAGCAAGGACTACTCCTCTGACCTGTGGTGGAGGAGCTCTCTAAATAGAATACCCTTTCCTATAAAGAGCCTTGCCCTAGAAGATTTCCCACACAGCCAGCATGTCCCCTCTACTCATCTACGTAGGCCTATGTACAGTATCACAGTAGTCAACAGTCCCAAAAAGATGATCAGAAGAATAAGAAGATCAGATAAGAAGATCAGACTGGAGCAAGTACAGTGAACCCCTGGAGCACAGCATTTATAATAATTCTACTACAAAATATCGCTGTGGATATAGCATACAGCAGGCTCTGTGGTACTGTCTACAACATCACATGTTCTACCAACCCATTTTCATCCCATGCCTAGATGTAGAGTTCAGCCCTTCTAAAGGCATACAAAGCATCAGGAGACCCAAAGATAGCAGATCATCTTATTGAGTTTCTAAATGCAGTACACCAGGCTAAGTGGAGCTTAAGTGGAGCTTAACTTCACATGCTCCAGCAGAAAGTGCTGGAGTCTAACAAGCCAGCAGGTGCTGCTCAAAAGCCATTCATCCAAACAATCTTCTTGTTATAAACCAAGGCACTCCTGAACATAAACACCAAAAAAACAGGACAGATGGGAATTAGGCCTGAACCATCACACCCACAGAGGGAACAAAAGCACTGTCTCTTTTAAGTGACAGAACTACAGAAGGTTCTGCAGAACCTGAAGTGCAGCAAGGCAGCAGGATATGACAACAGCATGCCACAGTTCATAAGCTTTCACTTTGTCGACCCAGTTCTACACACTGATCATGAACTCCAACACCATCCCAAAGATATGGTGTAGAGCAAATATCATTTCTTAACCTGGAAGAGTCCCCAGATTTCCAGCCAGCTGTGACCCAGTCTTCCTCCTGTCAGTGCCCTACGAAAACCTTGAGTGCCTCATTCTGCAGTACATAACTCAAGTTGTGGAAGAAGTGTGGACCAGGCTGATTTACACAGGGAATGTACAGTATCACAACAGAAGAGGTACTGGCCCTCTCCACCTTCATCAGAAATGGTATTCAGAAAACCATAAATACAGACACTGTGTTCCCCAACCTCATTGCAGCCTGTGACACAGTCATAGCAAACAAAAATAATCCCAACTCTGCTGAACAACATACAATTGAGAATTAACCTCAGACAGGAAGTAAGCACATGGAAAAGACAAATGGACTACCTCAAGCACCAATATTGGCTTCCACCTTGTTTCATCGATATATATACAGTATGACATCCCAAAAAACACACATCCTGAAAGTTTAAGTTGATGATGTCTGTCTGGCAACACAAGCCCCCAAGTTTGACACTATGGACCAGGTCCTAAATGAGGACATTTCCAAACCTGATCAGTACAGCAACATTTGAGGACTCAAACCAAGCCCACCCAAAACAGTACTCAATCTGTTTCACCTGTAAGTACTGTAAAAGTAAAAGCTACAAAAGAGCTGAACGTTCAGATGAACAATCAGAAATCCTACTCCAACATACCTTGGAGTGACTCTGGACAGGACACTGACCTTCCAGGAACACTTAAAGACAACTACTGCCAAGGTCAAATCAAGGAACAATCTGATCTCCAAACTCACTGATACAACATTGGGCGCTGCCACTATCACTCATGGGACCTCAGCACTGCATTCACTGCAGCAGAATGCTAAGCCTCTGTCTGGTCAAGATCATCACATACTCACAGAGTAGACATCCAGCTAAATGCCACTATTTACATAATCACTGGGAGTCTATACTACAGCCCAATCTCCTCTGGTTTCCAGTCCCAGCAAACATTCACATGTTTGATGACTCACAATAACCCAGAAAATGCTCTAAAAGGACCAGAATGCTAGTTAACCCTCCAAAGAAAGTCAAAAAAGTCAATCTGTGAAAACCTTCCCCAGTAAAGACTTCAACACAGACTCTAACTGGACACAAGAGTGGGAAGCACTGACTTAATAAACAAGCTTCTCATCACAAGCTCTACTCAACAATTCCCACCTTTCACCTCCCAAGAAAAGAGTGGTCCATTCTGAACTGCTTGTCATGGTCCATGTGTTACTAGCCTCCACAGATGGGAGATTAGTGCAAGCCATCTTTGTGCCTTTGGGATGGAGTAAACTATGCAGCACATCCTAGAAGACTGTCCAACCCAGAGACTCACATGCAACTGACATTCTAAAAGATGCAAGCACACAAGCTGTGCATCAGTGTTTAAATGGGTTAATTTCTACTATAACTAGGAATTTCAACTTTACCCATAGCTTTGTATTTTGCCAGAATTTCTTTAAGGTTAGGATGGACTTTAGCAGAATAAAAGAAACAAAGTAGGGAAATGGCATATTCTGTCAAGAAATAGATAAAATTGTTGCCTGAAAACCAGTGAGCTTCTAGCACCCACAAAAAGCTATGTGAGTTGAATAAAAGAGCACAGAGTCAAGTATTTAATCTTTTTTCAGGCATTTCTCATCACTTTTTCATTTTTGAACTGAACAGTTGCTTTCATGTTGTCATGGAAGCAATACATGAAAAATAACAACATACTGTATACAGTAACGGGGTTGATAGATACCCGATCTTTTCTAGAACTGTAAAATTGTAAAAAACAATTATTGTCAGTATGAAATTCTTGTGGGAAGATGATGTGCAGTGGTTGGTTTTGTAGCCTGTCCACTTGATAATTAATTAATGGCCTCATACAGTGGGTCCACATCTAGCTCGGGTGTGACCAGCAGAGTTAATGTCTGATTCAGTGATTCTCTGCTTAGGTTTCTTTTTTTAGTACAGCTTTGTGTAGTATTCACCTCAATGACACATGTGCATGTTTCTGTCTGTAGTGACTTCAATACTGTACAATATGAAAGGGATATATTTGGGCTGACAGGGCCTAAAACTCTCTTGTATTGTGATAATATGATGCAAAGTCACAGTCAATTAATCAATGTTCACATTGTTGTCTGTTAAATCTGTATATGTACTGTAGATTTGAAATTTAGCTTCAGAGCCAGAATGTTTTTTGTTTCATGTGATTGCCAGGTGCAAAGATTCCTGTCTGATTTTTAATTATTAACCTGACCACATACACGCAGTGAGCCAGACAGAGTATAGTGGGTAGACAACTACAGTAACTTCCCAGGGTTTACCTGGCTGTAAGACAATAGCTGATCGGTAGAAAACCCTTCTTCACCCTGTCAAAGATGGCCCATCGCACCCTCCACACCACAACTCAAGTCAAAGCCCTATAATTTAGAACTGCCATCTTCCAGGTTATATCTGCTACCAGCAGGGATGGTGCATTCTCTCCAAAGGGCATGGCTGCAATTGCCTGTGTGGTCGATTTTGGTTACCTGTTGTGCCTGGGTATTGAATCCTTGCTGGTTGGGTCAAAAGGAAGGACACAAGTAAATACATTATAAACACGTTATGCCACAGTAGTAGCCATTGCGGAGAAGTATTGTCCATCTGCCTTCGTTGGGGCACCATTTCTATTCTATTTCACAGCCACACCTAAAGAGCACTACCTGCACAGCATTTTGTAATGGATTTATAACGAAAGTTTGGGAGGGATGACAACAACCAGCTGTCGTTAATTTGCAATCACTCCTGACATCAATTCCTCTCCCAAATGCTATAAATATCTACGAGATCCCTATATCTCTCTCGTGCATGTCTCTTGCATCCCACTTCCACCTCTACAGCTACCCCTTGGTCACCCTGCATGGGGGTCCTGGCCTCCATTTCCCATGGCCCTGAGGTCAGCCCTCGGCCAAGCAGGTTAAGCCATAATTTACCGCCATAATTATTTAATGATGCTTTAATTTTGGGTTTTGTCATTCCTAGTGAAACTGATGTGATTTTTAATGGCATTTACCAACAAGGGTATCATGCCCCTTCGTAGGTACTCATCTTTCCAAAGTTGTTTACACTTCCTGAGGATTTCAAGGTTAAGTACCTGTCACCCAGCAGGTGGGTATTTATTTATTATTTACACATATTTTGGGG